GCATCTGTCAGTTGTCCTCCATGCACGACTTTGCACTGTAGTCCATCGTATTAGTTCCGGATAATGTTGACAATCTTCTCAAGAAATCCATAGAATCGAAGTCTTTTCCATAACATCCTCCTATCTACACTGCCTTTTCATAGTCAATAAAGTTGATGTACAGTGACGAGTTCCACTCAACTGATTGTTCGACGATGATCCATAGTGTTGCAATTTGATCTGTTCACGACCGATCCTTACGGAATCCAGCTTGTTGATCTCGAAGTTGGGCGTCTACTGCATCTTTCATCCGGTTCAGCAAAACTCTGTTAAAGACTTTCCCTGGTACTGACAGTAGTGTAATGCCTCTGTAGTTCTCATATTTGCTCAGGTCTCCTTTCTTTGGAATCTTGATGAGGTGTCCTTCTTTCCAGTCCATCGGCACTTGTTTCTCCTCACAAATCTTTTGGAATAAAAGGTGAAGCATGTTTGTAGTTACTTCGATGTCTGACTTCAGTGCTTCAGCTGGTATATTGTCGGGTCCCGCTGCTTTTCCGCTCTTGATCTGTTTGATGGCCATTCTGGTTTCTTCCGTCGTTGGTAGATTGACATCTATAGAAAGATCTGTGTGTGCTGCTTCGATGTCCGGTGGGTTCGTTGGAGACGGCCTTTCCAGGAGTTCTACCCATCTGTCCCCCTGTTGTTGAATTCCAGTGATTGACCTGCCTTCTTTGTCTTTGACCGGTCTCTCTGGTTTACTATATTTCCCTACTAGTTTCTTCGTTGTATCGTAAAGCTGTTTCATATTTCCTTCTCTTGCAGCTTTTTCCGCCGTCGTTGCAAGTTCTTCCACGTATTTCTTCTTTCCGGCTCTAATGCTCCTCTTCACTTGTTTGTTTGCTTCTATGTATTCAGCTTGTGCTTGGACTTTTCCTGCTCGTGTTCGGCTGTTGTTTATTGCTGCCTTCTTGTTCTTCCTTTCTTTGATCTTATCCAGTGTTTCTATAGAGATCCATTCCTTATGATGATGCTTCTCGAGGCCCTCAACCTCTTGACACGTTGAAGTTAATGCTTCTTTGATACCTTTCCAGTTGTCCTCCATAGTAGTTTCTTCTTCCTTCAGTAGATTCTGTAAGGCTTGCGACCTGTTGTTGAGAGTTATCTTGAATTCATTGAGTTTGTCAGTATCTCGAAGGAAGGCTGTATTGAATCTTTGTAGTGCTGTTTGTTCAGTTGTCCAGTTCTTCTTTAGCTTCATTTTTCAATCGGCCACAACTAGGTGGTGATCTGAAGCTATGTCAGCCCCTTGTTTGGTTCTCACATCTTCCATTGTCCTTCGGAATTTTTTATTGATGCAAATATGATCTATTTGGTTTTCTGTGGTATGGTCCGGTGAGATCCATGTAGCCTTGTGTATACGTTTGTGTGGAAATATTGTGCCTCCTATGACCGATCTGTTGAATGCACACAGATTTACAAATCTTTCCCCATTTTCGTTTCTCTCTCCCAGTCCATGTCGTCCTATGATATCTTCATATCCGGTGTTGTCTATTCCAACTTTGGCATTTAGATCTCCCATCAGAATGCTGAGGTCTTTTCTTGGGCATTTCTCTATGATTGACTGCAGCCTCTCATAGAATTGATCTTTAATGTCGTCGTTGCTATTATTGGTGGGTACATAGCATTGGATAATATTCATTGTTATCCCCTCTTTCTTTGTTTTGAATGATGCTTTGATGATTCTGAATGCGTGAGATTCCCATCTTACGAGTGCATTTCGTGCTTCTTTGGACAGCATTAGAGCGACTCCCTGAGTGTGTGCAGCATTGTCCTCTTCGTGACCGGTCTATAGCAGCATCTCTCCCGTAGCTAGCCTTTTCTGCCCAGCTTGGGTCCAGTGGGTTTCGCTGATTCCCAGTACTGCCAAATTATCTCCTCATTTCCGTTGTTATTTGACTGGTCTTCCCGGTTTCCCACATTGTTCAAACGTTCCATGTACCTATAAAAATTCCTGCTCTGGTTGTTAGAAGGGGCATCGGCCTCGTGGCTTCCGGAGGAACTCGGCTTTCACCATGAAGCGTCATAATTCTTCTAAATGAAGACCTTCTAACTCCCAGGGCAGAGTTAAAATGGTTTGGATTATTTTTTCTGGTAAGCGTTTTTTTAGCGAGTTAGTTTTCTACGGGATGGGGTCGCTAACTCCATGCCCAACCCTCCTCCTTTACCCGGGTTTGGGACCGGCAGTAACTTTAGAAGAGCTACAGGCGGAGTTAAACTATATAACATATTAGCTTATATCTACTTCAGTTTTATTTCTATTATCTCACTGTGAAACATTACTTGATCCACATGATAATAATAGTCCATATGACTTCTCTATCGATTATAATTCATTGAGATTTATTCTTTCTTATACTGATTATATAGTTTATAAGTATATAAATTATGTATTCGACGTGACTTGTACTACATTGTAATGTATTCATTCAATCAATACTTTCATGTCTGTGGTTGTCATGGTGATGGATTATCGGTTTTTGTCACCGGTGTAATTAATGTTCTGAAGGTTTTTATTGTTGTTCGTTAGTAAAGCAACCCGTTGTGTTCCGTGGTCGTCTTATTCTGATAATGATATACATATACTTTTTATGTAATACGTGCCCAAACTAGTTAGTTGATTAAGAAAACTAAGAGTGAGTAAGAAGATTTGATTGAGTAACCCTAATAGAAAATATATGCATAATTCATCCATAAATATCTCTTTCACAAAATTAAACCAAATTTTCAACTAGTAGCATATAATTATTTCTTTAAGCTAAATATTGACCAATAGCACATGTCCGTTAACATTTTTCATTTATCATTTGACTTTCATCTGATCGGTTCAGCGTATCACAACTGGTATGTTGGTGATACATATGTGTAATTCGTTAGTTGGTTAATTGTGGAAATTAGTTCAATGTTCTTTAAATAGTTTTGTTGTTCCACGGTTAAAGTCAATCCAGTTTGTAATATCAGTATAGATGAGATTTGTTTGTCTAGTTTTTCATTTGAATGCTACTAGCATTTTTATCACTGTGTACGAATTTATATTATAGATATTTCTCAGAAACACTGATCACATCATGATAAACACAAACATGTGAATAAAGTAAATCACATCGGTTAAATCAATCGCCTCAATTTAATCGATGAGGTTGAACTTAGATAGTTTGATCTGACCACAAAGTATAAATAAAAATAATATATTTGTAACATCCCAATGAATAGAAAATTAGATTTTCTGACGTTTCGTGACTTAGTGTAAGCCACTTCTTCAGAGAATAAATAACCAAATTAAAATTAGTCCAAGTTTAAATAGTACAACGGAACAATGCAAGAATAATAATATGTGATCAATCAGAAACAGGTCTGAACAAGTTGATGTCATGTCATTTCTATCAAGGTGAATCATAAGTGATATGTATGTTAATTTGTGTATGTAAGTGTGCATTGTTTAGGAATGAAAACTTGTGTGACCTTTATGGTAAGAAAGGATAGAGTTTAAATTTGTAATATGATAGTGTGAAATTGTAAATACGATCAGACTGGATGGTTAGGATAGATGGTCCAAGTAGGATGTATGATAATGCCTTCTTTTCTATTGAGAGAAGTAGGATTAAGTAATTTACTAATTAAAACAATTTTATATATTGTAATCTTTTTGCTTATCCCCCCTCATTGTAATTACGAGTACCTTTATACCGATAACATATTAATGCCTATGATACACAGCTACAATGTATATATTTAAAACCGATTAGCCCCATTCGAATCCTGTCCAATTTGAATTACAAAAGAAATAACCCCTATTTATCATGTATTCTTTAGACTAGTTAAAATACCTTAACGTACTACTATAAATAAGAAGTCTGAATCTCTACAAAGTCAGGTCATTTATTATACAATAATGAAAGCGATATAACGGATGGTTTAAAGTATATTTATCAAATGCACTACGATAATACGATAATGAGTCTAGTCACGTTATATTAGATCTAGGATTCACGAACCAGAATAGAGAATCAGAGTATAGACCAAACAATAGTCAATGGGCTATGTGTTTGTTTGTCCACACTCAGTGACCAATTATATTTTAATTACTTTATCATATATCAGGAAATAGTAGTAGCTGTAACAGTTAAACATAAATCAGTCGTTACTGAGTTAAATGGAAACTTACAATTAGTAAAAGACTATATTGCATTACCCCTCTTGTAGGAGTATAGGTCGCCAACCAGTACTACATTCTGGGTATATATATACATATACATATATCCCAGAGTAGTTATAAATGTAACCCTCTTTGTATTGCCTCCTAGATCAATTCATTTGATCAGTAAAACGTGTAATTACAATTAATGAATGAAACAAATGAATACAATAAGGGAAATACAAAAAAAGATAAATATCATAAACCAATTATTTAATAAATACACAATAAACAATGATATAATCATTGTCCTTCAAATAATTCCAATTATTTCATTCATCTCTCCAAATTATTCACCAAATAACTAATTTTCAAAGTTTCTCACTTTGGATGCCGGCTCAGTGGTCTAGTGGTTAAGTGCTCGCGCGCGAAACCAGTAGGTCCTGGGTTCGAGTCTCGCAGGGGCTGAGGTCGTGGATGCGTACTGCCGAGGAGTCCCATACTAGGACGAAACGCCCGTCCAGTGCTTCCAGGTTTTCCATGGTGGTCTAGCTTCAGTTGACTCATGATCTTAACCAGTGAAATTACTATAATATCCACAATACCCATCTGATATTAATTATGTAATTATTGTCCTTCAAATAATTCCAAGTACTTCATTCATCTCTCTCTTTCTCTCTCCGAATTGCTCATCAAGTAACTAATTTTCAAAGTTTCTCACTTTTCTCTACTCATTTATTCAATTCATTTCCTTTTTGAAATCCTGTTTTATATTTTGTCTCATTATTATTATTATTATTCTTTTCTAAAAATTAACATTCATTTATAGCTAAAACATTGGAAGAACAATTAGAAGAAGAGATTGCTCGTGAAGTGGATGAACTTGTTTTAACTAAATCAGAGAATAATTCTATTCATCCAATTAATACTAATAATAATAACAATGATGATGATCTATCTGTAACAGATGAAATTGATGAAGAATTAGAATTGGAAATATTAGCTGAATTAGAAGGTGGTAATAATATGGTCGGTCATTCCACTAGTTGTAATGTTGGTGATAGTGTCAAAGAAGCGAATAGTTAATGCAAGAGAAAAAGAATATTAGACAAAAACGAAAAAAAAACAAAACAAAAATTCATTGAAAGTACACTTTTGATTCTTTTCTTTTTATGCCATTGAAAATTTAAAATACAATAACAAGTGTTTCTTTCTTTTGTATAACACGCCGTAATTATCTTTGATATATATACATTATTGTTTCTTTTTATTTCGCAAGTAATGTTGTGTAGTTGCGTTGTTTGTTTCTCTTTTAATTTTTGTCCATAGTGTATGTGGTGTATTCACCACTTTCCTTTTCACACTTTTTGTTCACATATCAATTAGTGATCACTATATTATTATTATGCTTGTTTATTTGATCTTTTTTCCTTCAAATTTTTAATTCTTAAATGCTTTTCACTGTATTGGAAGGTTTAATTATTCATTTTCACTAATGATGTAATAAAGTTGCTTTACATAACCAATTTTATATACACGCATATCAGTCAGTTAGTTATAAGTGTAATGTAGAAACTGACACATATTTACATTATCAGAATGGGTTTTGTGGAGATTTTTAGAAATTTCACAGGTTGAAATCATGAGTCAATTGAAACCAGACCATCATGGAAAACCTGGAAGCACTGGAGTTCTAGTGAGAAGCCGTTACCAGTGGAGTTCAACCAGGTCTGTCGTGAGATATCAGCTCGCTGAAGACAATGGTGTACGGTGGCACAACTTCGTGGATTGGTTGAAGTTAGACATTAACGCCGTTGGAAACCGGCCCAGTGGTCTAATGGTTAAGTGCTGGGGCGCAAAACCAGCAGGTCATGGGTTCGAATCCCGCGGGGTGTGGGATCGTGGATGCGCTCTGCTGTGGAGCCCCATACTAGGACGAAATGGCCGTCCAGTGCTTCCAGGTTTTCCATGGTGGTCTAGCTTCAATTGACTCATGATTTCAACCTGTGACATATTTACATTGATTGAAGTTCTTATGTTACATTAACACAGTCAGACAACTGTCAGAGTAGTATAAGTAGTATGAACAATATCATTATTAATAGTAGGAAACATTATGCATCGATAATATGATTTGAAAAGAATGTTTTCACAAATTGAGAAAAATAAGATAATTTTGTAACTTTATGTCTCAGGAAAGACAAGTAGTGAATAGATCTACTCGATTATGAAGGCTTCTGAACCATTTCACCAATCGTCTCCAATTGGTAATGATGATGAACAAACAAATATTAACGAAGGTGGTCTATACCAACCTAAGCAGGATCAAATCAGCAGTCGACGAATTTCGTAAGACCTTGATTTGCTTGCCCTCATATTTTCAAACTAATTCTATGCTAGTAAGCATCATTCGTCGAAGTAAATGGTTACCGTACATGACAACGACATATATTTATTGCCCAGAACACATTTCAACAATGAATAAATACTTCAACTTTACATTAATTTATGTTTTACAAATGTTGACTCCAGCAAAATTAACACGTAGATTTCATTATTACAATTTAAAAAATTTCTATGTGATGGCAAATTTTGGTTTGATTTTTTATTCATTAGACTAAGCGACTAGATATCGGGTCATTGGATTACGACGTGACTGATACAGTTTGCTCGGTGAGCAAAAGACAGGTCATATGTTATAAAGCTTACGGATTAGGATTTTTATGGCTTGTCACATGATGTGGCATGATAATAACAATATTATAATTATTATTCGTAACATGTCCTGTAGAATTAACATGTGCATCAAAAAGAAATCTATTAGTCACCAGTTTCTCACTAGTTGCATAACTTAAGACTGTAAGATTAATCAGCCTAAAAATGTATTGTTTGAGCGTATTTCTTCGTGATCGCCAGCCAGAATCTGTGCTAATCTGTAACTACGACAAATATAACTTTGCATTTAGTATAGTGGAGACTGTTGAATTTTATGGTTTATATCACGGACCCATCTTAGAAAACTACTGAACAACAGGAAGCACTGGAGAATCTTATCGTCCTAATATGGAACATTCTAACAGTGTGTTAATAGTTCTACCGAGGATCAAACCCTAGGACCTTTAGGTTTCACAGCACTTACCGTTAAGGTCACTGACACATCATCTATTTACAAGTGATTTTTTTCAGCTATCTTCCAGTGCCATTTATGTATATCTGCCTCAACTTACATCACTGAACTCTACTAATCATAACTCTTCACTAGAACTCCTGAAATTACTCCTCAGAAATAGCCACTAGTGAGGACATGATCCTTGATGGATCGTGGATATCCACTATTGAAGAGTTCCATTTTAAAACAAGATAGTTATCCAATCTCTTAGTTTTCAGTAGTTGTTTACTTGAGATTGGCATTTAATCTTCTCTCTGTTTCTGAAAATCGAAATTATTAGAGTTAGTACGAAAGTTATTCAACAAACATAAATCGAGTATAATTGTTAGAAGAATGGACAAATAAATACATAACAGGTAACATCTATAATCTATAAAGAAATCCGTGTGTTCATCCATTGATTCCCGAGCAAATACATGTTTTAGCAAGGTGTTTATGAATTACAAACCGTTCATAAGTATATCTAATAAGATTGTTCATATGCATAGAGTTTTGTTAATTAATGTATCAGGAAATGGACACCTTTTAATTATGTTAATTTAAATGCAAGCTAATACATCGAAATCCTATATGGTGCTTTTATAATAGAAACAATATGAATCCATTCTTACTATCAATTCTATGCACTGTAAATATCTGAAGAACAAATGCAATTTATTTGTATAATGGAGAGTTTTTGATGAAAAGGTATGAAATTTCACTTGTTATATTAGACAGATATTTATTGTATCTTAAACATTTGAATATTGAATAGTTTATTTACGCAATAGAGAAGGAGAACTAATGAACTTCATTGTATATGTTTGATAGTTGGATTCATTCGATTGGATATTCCTTTTTGTTTTCGTTACACGAACTAGAAAGGTCAATCAGATTCTGATTGGATGGAAACGCTTTGGCTCCTTTGGGGCTTCTGGAGGCTCTATCATGCTTTTCAAAAGCCGTCCCAACATTAACCTTAGTTAAGAAACTATTGAAACTCAACAATTTCCATAAACTCACTGTATAAACAAACACTTGTATTCAACTGGTTCTATTTGTTGAAATGCCAGCATTTTTCCATTGTTGAGACATATAGAAATGGAATAATTATTCCGTATTCTATCACATATGTGTCTAATTCTACGTTGTAGCTGACTGCCTGATTGATTATATTACATAATATCTGAATTTGGGTTTGTAATATTCAGATATAACTATAACACAAAAGCTTTAATGAGTTAGATTTAGTAAGGCCTATTTTCTAATACATATCGATAATTCATTTCAACAACGTAATGAAACTACTACTTTACCGATATCACTTCTACCCAACGTTTATTAAATTATTCCGTCCAAAATCTTATTGATTTTCAAATGGCATTACTATTTCAGTGAGGTGAACAACATACATCTGAATCCACCTAGTGAGTGTTGGAGAGGATCTAATCACTAATAACAACTATTGTACAAAACACACTAGCATTCTTACAGGGAATCTAGCTTACTATGTACACACAGGATTGGTTAACTGACCAAGAAAATCAGGGTACTGACATGGAAATAAACAGCATATATACAAATTAGGGATGTAGAACTATGATCATTAACAAAATTCACCAGTGTATTTATTTCCCAACAAGTAAACAGAAATAGTAACCATCATAGTTAAGGCTAATAAAACTACAAATAAATGAGCAAAAAAACAGTTATGGAATGCAATCACATGTGACGGAAGAAATGAATAAATTCACATCGTATGATTAAATACTCTTGAAAATAATAAAATGAAATAAACGGTAATGAGATTTACTTGCTACTGATTTATTTATCAGTAGTTAAACTCACTCAACGAAAATAATACAATGAAACGAAGTACTATTCATTACTGAGATATAAAGCTCGTTTGGTAATAACCATTTAGAAAAGTTGAAATCATTTCAAACAAACAGGTGTGTTCGTTATTCTTTTTATTTTTATAAAAAAAGATTTTTACACATCAAACTGCATAGTGCAATAAAATCTTAAGATATAAATGTTGTTAACTATGAAAAAAGTGTAGAACATAAAATATCACTTTGTTGTCATTGAGACGAGATTACACAGATAGTTTTCTTTCTTTAATTCTCATATTTTATGGAATTATGTTGACAAATCAAACTTATAGAACCACTTATTAATAAAACAGTAATATTAAGCACATTGTCTGGTAGAACTGAGGAGTGATCTAGTAGCTATGGCACCCAACTTTCTATCACTGAGTCTCAGGTTCGAACCATGTTTTAGTTACTTCGATTTGAGCAACTGGATAGTATCTCTATCCATCACACATAGATTATGGTTTATATCCAAGTGCCTAGTGAGTGAATTCATGGAAGAAATCCACAGAATGTTGCTTGTGCAATGAATTTCAGGAATCTTTGAAATAGGAAACTAACCTTTGGTTAAATATAATGGGTTTACTTAGCTTTATCAGCAAGATGGTTAAAGTCACTGAAACACAACTGTTTTAACCCATTTTTATTACTCTGACGTTTTGCGTTCATATTCAGTAATGTGCTATTTTATTTCAAGACTAGAATATTGCATTTCTGGTCAAACTTCTTGGACTCTCTTTGTAAATATCACAAGAAATGATTTGTTTATATACATATTTCAACTAATTAATCATATGTGTTTACTGCCTAAGTTACCTAATTGCTTTGATAGAAATTTTACAACCTTTGACGAAGAAAATTGGTCTTTGATTTCAATCAGAACCATCATTGTAACGGACACATTTCGCTCGTCATATTCTCTTTACGAGAAACCAGAAGTGATTGTTTCGGGATTTTTACATCATATATATTCTGTGATTTTAAAAGATTTCAGAGCAGCAAAATTAATTTTTCAGCTGAGCTCCTTTGAGTGGTATATTTTTTCATATTTTAAGTGGTTATTAAACTGGAAAATATTCCACCAGTATATATTTGTGCTGACAATTCTGTGAGACTATAACTTTTGTTTAAACCAATCAGATGTAAGGTAACGAGTTTTGGATTTTTGCGCGAAATTCATTTATTAATTTGACTAAATAGCGTTTTGGCATTATTGCTGATGTCAGTTTGTGAAGAAAACCCTAAATCTAATTCCTAACCCTAATCATCTACTGTAAATAATTAACCTAATTCCTCACACTGGTTTACCACCCTCATCTAGCACTAGTAAGTAGGTGGATACCATCAAGTCCACTTTAGCATCGCTTAAAGGTCATCCATAAATTGTAGCCTCACCGAGAATTCTTCATTGCAGTTAAAATTGATTTTCTCTGTATGCTTGTGAAAAATCTATTTATTATTCACAAAATTAGTTAAACGTGACACTGCTATTTTCAGTAGTTGCCTTCATGAAG